GACCCACGATTTTATTACACAATTTATATAAAAGAGAGGTAGCAACGCGTGTGAAATAGAATTTTTCTTTGCGCTTCACAAATTCTACTCTTTCATCTTACACCAATTATTTATTAGCGTAGTTCTATTAGTATAAGAAAACATTATTTTTTTCACTTTCATTTATGCTCATTATAACATTGAGTTGAAATTATAAATTTTATAACTATTTCTTTTTAGTTGATTCTTATTTTATTGTACATAAAACTTGTATAAAGTATCTTTATCGCGTCTTAATAATCAACAATTTGTATGCAAAAGGACTTTTGAAACATTTTCAGACTCGAATGATTTGAAAATGCGGTTTTATATATCTACTGGCAATATTGACGTAAATTGACAAAGTGAGTGTGACGATATATATTCGAATCCCGCGTTGGATATTTATCATTTGATTTATAGTAAGCGATATATATGAACTTAAATATATATATATATATATATTTCACGATATCAAGATATTTTTAAACCTTGATTTGAATTGCGATCGGTTTTAAAGAAAAAAAAAAAGATATAAATATACACTGACGGCAAATATTGGTGTGGTCAGTGTGTAATCAACATTTATGACATTTTATTACGCGTTTTTACTTCTTAATATGATACTTAAAAAAACTTCAAATGCGCGGTTTCTTAAAATATAAAATATTCTTTTTAATTAAAAAAAATTTACAAAATTTCCTTCCTACACCCAGAGAAAAATATTATTTATTTAACCTAAAATAAATAATAATAATGATAATGATAAACCGTATTATAAATCCGCTGGTACGCCAAAACATTTAAACCGGACACAGTAAAATGTTCATGTGCTTCCGTTTAATTCGCGCCTGCGTGCTGCAGAATGGCTTGCCATTATTTATTAACATTAAAAATATTATTTATTTCTTAAATATAAATATATTTGTAGTAAATAAAAAATTTATTTGCATTAAATAAAAAACATTTATTTAATTCAAATAAACGACCTTAAATAATCCATTTTATTTAAAATAAATAAAAATCTAGTTGGCGCTGAGACAAATATGCTTTTTTTATTTAAATCAAGTAAATTTTATTTAATTAAAATAACAGATTTCTATGGGTGTAAAACTTTTCAAAATCAGTAATCGTTTATTAATATAAAATGGATAAAAAATGAATATTTTAGATAAAATTATATATAAAATTATATATAAATTAAGAATAGGGGAGAGTAAGTTCGTCCAAAAAAAGTATAGTGTAAAAAAACTACTTCATTATATTGTTTAAGTATATGAAAATTTTTTTATAGTAAAATGAAAATATTCATGAATAAGAGAAAAAATTATTTTTAATTATTTATTAATAAAAATATTGAATAAATAATAATTAAAGTGTCAGGAAAAAAATTCAAAATTATTTAATATTTTAGTTAATGACAAACTGATTATACCATAAAACTTTATAGAAATCTTTGTTACCTTTATCCTTAAAAATAGTGTGACTTTATATTAAATTTTGATAAAATTATTAACAAAAACGAACTTACCCATATCTTTCCCCTAAAAATTTTTGTTTTAAACAATAACATTATTATTAAACTGTCATTAATTGAAATTGATTGTACTTAAAATCAATTCAAAATTTTTAAATAATTTTCCAATTTACATAAAATACATAAAAATTGATAATCAAAGATAATATTAATTATACCCCCAAAAAGTACTATTTACTTGATATTAATTAATTAATTAAAAACGATAAAATACTTTTAAATAAATTTTTTTTTATAAACGTCACAAGCTTGATAGCTTAATAAAAAAAGGAATAATTAAAATTTTTACAAATACCGAGTATTGTTAAACGGTTCTAAATAATATATATATAATATATAGGTATAATCGTATAATTAATCTCGCGATTGAGTTGTATAAATTTATTTGATTATGAAATATGAATTCTGGTTTTACAACTTTTGAAGGACAAAAAAATTGCATTGCAAAGAATTCAAGTGCAAATCTTTAAGAAACAGACGTAAATTTGCGAAAGAAAAAAGAAACAATAATCAACTATATAGTTTTTAATGAGTTTGAATAAAGTCCTGTCAGGGTGGTCGACCGAGTAAATAAACTCGATAGAGGTGAGCCAAGTAAAACCTGGCAAACCAGTCTATACTCATATTGCCATTGTAGCACAACAAACCAATCCTATTGCATTCCTTTAGAAAATGAATTATAATCATTTCAGTAAATATTAAAAAAATATTCAATATATATGTTATTGTAAAATATATCATATTTTGTCACGAACTCCTAAGATTAATCTCGTGATATATATTAGATCAAATTGATTTCATTCAAGCATTTATTTAAAATAAAAGAAATCAAGTTTCAGCTTCAATAAAAAAAAAACTAAAAAATTTATTCTTCAATTTAGAATATAATTTTATTTTAAGAGTGGAATGTATACTTAATTTTAAAATAAATTGTAGTAAAATATTTTTAAATAATATGTCAACTCTCTAAGTCTAAATTTGTGAAAAATTTCACTAAATTTGAAGTATATAGTAACCAATGCTTTTGAATTAGTAAAAGTTAACTAATTCATAATAAGAAAAAATTTTACTAAAGAATTATTAAAATTTAAATAATTAAAAAGAAAAAAATCGAGTCATAGTACCTAATTTAATAATTAAATTTTTTTTTCTAATTCACTCAGAAAAAAATTGTTTGAATGAAATAAATTTTGGTTGAACCAACCAAATAAATGTGTTGCTTACAATTAATCAAACTTTTGAGTGAATCAATAAAAAGTTTATTTGGTTCAATCAAATTCTTTCTTCTTTCGAAAAATTTATTAAAAGAATTAAAAAAAAAAAATTATTTAGATCAAATAAATATTTATTTGTATAAAACAAATTTTTTTTTTTGAAATAACCAAAAAATTGTGTAAATACAAAAATAAAAATCATCAAATTCTATCTAAAATTCATTCGACATTCAATCTTATGTAAACATGCAGTTTTGGTTGAAAGTGAGTTGAAATTAAAATTTATTTTTACAGTGCAGATTTAGAAAGAATTATTTTTATTTAATTATTTTTAATTTTAGAATAAATTTTCATAAATGTATTTTCTGAGTTTATATGAATACTTCTTCGGTAAATTATGAAATACTTTTATTTATATCAATAAATTTTTCGCACTATATATATATATATATATATTATTCTTTTCAATCGAGAATGGCTTTTGTGGAGATGTATATAAAAGAAAAGAAAAATGACAATACATTTTCTGGCAGGATTTCAAAAAAAGAAAAAAAAAAGAATACGTCTCTAAAATTATTTATTATCTCGTTTGGAGATTCGTGAATAGTAGGTTATCGCGATATTGGATCTTGAAGTAGACCGCTATACATGTTATATGGATCATTCCTTTCCTTGTGTGAATAATTTATCGTGTTACTTCGTGACCTGTACAGCGCCCATGAGCACTAAAATTCGCAAAGTTATTTTTAGTATTCAGTTTATTCTTTCACCTATTTTCTAAAAGTGACTTTATCGAGTTTGTATATATATACAAATTTAAAACGAAACTCAAAATTTTAGGAGGGGGGGGGGGGGGGCAAGAAAAAATTTCTAGAACAACTAAACATGTATGTGGGCCGCTTATATGTTTGATAAACAAAAATTTTAATTTATTACGACAGAATTAGATGTGTTTATTATTTAAACACTAAGACAATGTATAAAAAATAGTTTTTTTTTTTAATCTTGAAGGAATTTTGAAAACACTATATAGGGAAACAAATTGTGGACTTTTTTTTTGTCCCTTAAAAATGTAATTTATTTGTACAATTTATATTCTAAAGAAACAAATCAAATCGTAAGAAATATATTTCTAGGGTCATAAATTTATATAGTAATTGAAGAATTTTATAATATTGTATATGAAAGATGATTTGTATTGAAAATTATGTAAATTTCAAAAATGTGAAAACCGTGCATTATTAATGTTATACAAACTGCAATTTGAAAATGATTACACTACAATGTACCATAGTCTAGAATAAACAGCTTATAATTAAAATTCCTTGAGGTTAAGATTGCATTAGATTTATGGTATATATAAGATTCTTGAATTACAAATTATTTCTTGTATCACAAAGTTTCTTTAGCGCAGTAAAAAAGCAGAAAAAAAACCTAACAAGAATATTCTCTTTTATTAGTATTCAATTTAAGGTAAAATTCATTATGTATTGTATATTAAACTCAACATAAAATTGTTTAAAAAACGGATCGTTAGTCATTTTTTGTTTTCAGTTTGCCGAAAATTTAAATAACGGAATATTTTTCTTTTCAAATTTTAAACTTTTACCTTAATTAAAATGTGTAATTTGACTAATTAAAAACCATAAATATTGTTTGCTTACCTCATAAATAATTTTTTTTTTTAGTAAAAATAAAAAATGAGAATTTTTATTTCCCAGCTGTTATGAAAAAAACTTGTACACTCGTTTAAAGTTACTATGTATACTAAATAAAAATATCTCAATATATATATTGATAATTATTCAAACAGTATAGTTAAAACAATTTTTCTGCTAGTTTTTAAAGATAAGATTTTTAATTGAATTCAAAAAGGAATTCGACATTGAAAAATTAGAGCTCAATTTTATTTGATGTCACGTGTTTGTGTATAACATCTGTGCCAATGATAACTTCTTTTTAGTCGACAAATCTTTTGATAATTGACTTTCTGACTGAAACTATTTTACATAACAAGTTACTTTTTATGATAAGTTAATTATTATCTCTATATGATGAATAAATCTATACAAGTATAATGAAAGTTTACATATTTTAAATGAATATATAAAAATTTTTGCCACAGGAAGAATTTGGGTCAAATTATATTTATAATTAGAAATTTTATTTATATTTTAAGAATATGGAAAAATAATATTTCTAAAAAAATAAAAATGTCAAAGTGTATTTACCAAATTTATTTTGCCCATCTTCTCAACAATGGTATCCATGTTGGAGAGTTGAAATGGAAACTTTTTTTTTTTTTTTTTTTTTTTTAAGAATATTATCAACACTTTTTTTTTATGTGCTTCGCGAACACAGTTAACAGGTGGGCCACGTGATTCCTGTCAATGTTTACCGGTAGACTGCCAAATTATAAGGTGAACACTCGATTCGTTTTTTTTAACAGGCAGAAACGTTCACCCGAATTTCTCCGGCGAGATCGAACGATGCCGGGTAAATAAAAAAAAAAAAAAATAAAAAAAGAAAGAAAGAAAAAACGTTTCGCGAGACGAAAGTTGCAGGTGATTGTTAAAGGAATGAAAAAAAAAAATTAGCACACCAAAGGGGACAATTTTTTAGAGATCATTTAAACTCACACAGAAAACAATTTTCACAAACTTTTTGAAAAACAGGAAATTTTTTGTTGTTGTTTAAACTTTAAATAAAGTGAACATTATTTTTCATTCACAATTTTTGTACTTTCTCCGCCATTCGTAAAATCCACTGTATAATTTGTTTTCTTTATTGTTCATTGATTGATTTCGATGGAGGGGAATTTTGGTATTTTCATTTTTTTTTTTTTTTTTCGTTAGCGATGAAAATTTGTTTTGTTATCTCTTCGCGCTAAGTCCCCGGTTATAGAATGTATATTGTATAAAGAGGCGCCCGACCGCGGAACCTCCTTGGCCGCGATTGTAGATTGAACTGCCAGGTGAAAACACAACACTTCTCAACCTGTACACAGGTGCACCTCTGAGAGCGACTCCCGACTGGCCTCTTGCGTATATAGAAGGGGGGCCTACTTGGACTTTAAAAAGTGTTCTCTAACTTTGATTTTTAGACTTATCAGCACGAGATTATAATGTATAAATTTCTTCCAACTCTGTGTGTATATATATATATATTTTTATCAATTATATCTTTAAGGAAGAATATTCTATAATTATACATTATTTATCTTCTTTTTTAAACAATTTCATTAGACAAATTAATTTTTAAATAAATTTCTATATAGTGAATAAAAATAAAAAGACACCCTTAGAATTTTTTCAAAATTAAGAACTGATAATTGATGGGAAAATCAGATTAAATTATTTATGTGTCATTAATGTATAAAATTTTTTGTTGAAAAACTTTTATTTCTTAAAATAATTGCTTTTTTTATTTTATTTTAACGTTGAAATTTTTAGATTTTCACATTTCTATTTAACAGTAAATGTGACTTTTTTTTTTTAAATTAGAAACATAAAAAGTAATAAGTAAGTCAATATAACATTTTAACAGACATCTTTTTTATGGTGGGAAATAAATTTTTTTGGCTTTTAAAATCTAATTTTATGAGGTCTTAAAAAATCAAGAAAAATTATAATTTATATTTATTTGACATTTTTATAACTAATTTTGTTGTATAAGAATAACTTATTGATGAAAAATTCGAAAAATTTAGATGCACTAAGAAATTTTTTTTTTGTTTATTCAAGGAAAGCTTTTTTTATTTATTTCTTTATGTTGTATTAAAAAGCATTGCAGAATTAATTCATACTACGTAAGATTAAAATAATCTATTTTTTGGATAAATTTTTTTTCTCTATTTAGTGAAAATAAACATTTGATCTTTAATTTAAAGAAATTTTTTTTTATTTAAAGAATTAACTTTCCTCTGCGAGTGTGAGACTCGTTTCATTAAAGCTAAATTATTCTAATTAGTAAAATAATGTTTCTTTATATCTTATTGACAATGAAATGAATGGAGTAATTAATTATTCAAAGAAAAATATTAATATTCTAGAAAGGAATAATTTGGAGAAAATTAATTAATTGCGATATTTTTATTTAAAAAAATTTACTTGACAAATTTGGAATTTTAAACTTCAATATAAACAATTGAAGGGTAGAATGACAAAAGGGGTCAAGCGCCAATTCACTGTTTTTACAGGAAGTAAAAAAAACATTTTTAAAAATTTTGCAGGTCATTTAAAAAAAAACTGAGAAAACCGTTTCGATATATTAGTATGTTTTAATAAATAAACAACAATTTGTTGAAATAAACCTACATATTAACGATAAAATTAAAAAAAACTGTGGTTCCTTGAGGTTATATCAACTGCGCACATTTTCTTTAAACATTAATTATAAAAAAAATATACAGTTTAAAGAAAAACTGGAAAATTAGTTTCTTTCTATGGAATCAACGAAATGAATAGAAAAAAAAATTCCTTTAAAAAATTGTTTGTTTTCAAGAAAATTACGAATTAATTGCTTGCTTTGGAATTGAGCAATACTTTCATCTTTAAATTCAATTGTTCACTTAGTATAACCATAAAAATGTTTAAAAATTAATAACAAAATGATTTTAAAATTGTTTAAAATTGAAAATACATTATTATTATTATTAATTTTATTAATTAAAATATTATTAAAATAAAATTAAAATAAAATATTAAAATAAAACCTAAAAAAATAATATTTTTTTTTATTTTGATAATATTATTGACTCACCACTTTCTTTTGTTTTTCAATCAGGTTGCAATAAAGTAAATTTGAGGCTATTTTATTAATTTAATTTTTATTAAAAACTGATTTAAATACGCAATAAAAAAGGAAATCCTTCTACAGAAATGTGTAAATGAATTTTCTTGATTTTTTTATGCAAAAACCTCATTTTCGATAAATTGGCGCTTGACCCCTTTTGTCATTCTACCCTTCAATTATTGTAGTAAAATTGTAGTTATAGTAAAAGTTAATGGTATAGTAATTTTTTAAAATAAATATTTCTAAAATTAATTTTTTCATAAAAAATTTGTATTTCTTTTCTAAAAATGGTAAAAGAAAATTCAATTTTATAATTATAATTATTTTATATTATAATTTCTTGCAAAATTTGTCATTTTATATATAAATGTTTTAAATATCTCAAATTAATAAAAATTTGCCTATATCAGATTTCACAAAATTGATACTTAAATATTTAATATCACAATTATATAGTATAGACAACTTAGATATCTATAAAAAAATTGAGATAATTATGCAAGAAACATATTTACAAAGGTGTGAATTTAATTTTCGTAATAAACTTTTAATTGCAAAACATAAATGTCTTACATAGGTTTCTCAAATGTTATATAGAAATCTTGAATCATTAGATTATAGTTTATTAATTACACTATAATAAAACTACAAAACTTTAATTGTTTTTTGTAAACATATATATATTTTTCAAAAATAGACACGCGAAATCTTTTGTTTTTTTTTTTTTATAAATGTCATATTTACATTATTTGGTATTTTTTTTATTTTTTACTCATATATATAAATGACTACCTTTCATTCAGTAGAGAAATTTTGCTCTCTCTAAAAAAAAGGAAAAAAAAACCTAATAACCATTTATAAAATATGTTATAATATATTGTATTTTGCAATTGCTTAAAATTTTAATCGTTTTCAATTATTTAGACCATTCTAAATGAAAGAAATAATTAAATGTTTTCACAATTTCTTTAACCTGCGACTTTGTTTTTAATGTTTAAAGTATTTTTATTGCTTTCTGCCAACTTTCCCACAATTCGTATATATATGTATGTGTGTATTTTTATTTTATTCTGATTATTAAGATATTTGAGGAAAAAGTGCTGTAAGAAATTTTCTTAATGAACACTCATTCGTGTATATGTAAAAGTATATAGATGTAAAGTGGGTTTCATTTTTTTTATGAGTTACTTCTCCAGATGCATTATTATTTTTGGAAAAAGTATATAAGTAAATAAAAATGTTTCAATATATGTCTTTTATTACTTGCGGAAGCAAAAATGTTTTTTTTTTTTTTTTTTTTTCCTAAGAAAGCCAATTATTAAAGTGTAATAGTTAAATTGCGGACATTTTGAATATTATGGTCCCTATGGACGCGTTTTTTTTTCTCTTTAACATCCTTACTTCATAGAAACGCAATATCCATAAACCAGAAATTATCTCAAGTAATTTGTGATTTATGTATTGTTTTCCTTATTACACCACAACTCGTGAAAAGAAACTTTTTCCCTCACCTTTTAATGTCCCATTAAGCGGTTATAACAAATTAATAATTAAATAATTTTTTTTTAAATAACATAATTAAAATTATTTTTATTAGAGAGAGAATACAAATTTTGACAGTCGATTTATTTTTCTCTATAGTATTTTTTTTCCTGTTTATCATTTTCTATAAAAAAAAAAAAAAAATTGTTTTAACAGCTTTTTTTTGTCTTAATTTTGCTCGATTATTATAGTTATAATTCATTATTCCCTAGGCGATGATATACCTATGCACACATACACACACTTGAGAAATTGAGAAGCTCGTAAACCAATCGTTTACGATTTAAGTAGCTAAGAAGGAAACGGAAACGACTATATGATGTGTAATGATACTACTCTTGAAACTCTTCATAGTCTCTTATATATATATATATATAGTATCCGAAGAAGAAACCTAACCAAAATAGAGATTACGCGCTTCAACTGAAATATCATCAGAAACTCTCATATCGTTTATTTCGTTTCTAGTTCAGGGTTATACCCGCAACTTCAATCTCTATGTGTATATTTTTGCTAAAAAAAAAAAAAATCCGTGGTTTAAAGACCAACGATCGCAGCTCAGTATGAAAAAAAAAATGACACAGGGAGTACGAATATAGAAGACGCGTAACGGCGTAAGGGATCGTCCTTGTTTGTTGAAAGTCTTTGCGGCTCAGCCTTGCATCTTCCCATGGAATGTGTCTCTTCACGAGAGTGGTTGACCAGGTTTTTCAGGAAAAAGAAAAAGGAAGTTGAGGGGCTAAATGGAGGGAAGGGGGGAGGGGGAGGGTGAAAGAATAAATTGTCCGTAGAAGACATTTTTTAAATCTCTGACTTGTCCGCGACTTTATTGCTGTCTTTTAGGACCATCGTCGACCTTGAGAGTCGGGAGCACACGTTTCTTTTCTCTCTCCTTTGTGTACTCTAGCACCTATATACATAAACGAATGTATAGAATTTCAGCCAATGAAATGATGATCTCCTTTATAGAACGAACCCACGCATCCTGAAAAGGAAACTACCCGCGCGACAACTAACGAGTATTATACATTTATATAAAAATGAGAGAAAAAAAATTGTATGATTAGGACAGATATATAAAAACAGATCATACTGAATCATTTTTATCATCACGCATTAAGAAAAATATTTCGTTTCAGCAATCAAAATTTGGTTAGGGCAAAAAAAAAAAAAATTTTTTTTAGTATTTAAGCAACCAAACTATTTGGTTGAATATATTTTGTTGGTATAACGAAAATGTTTGGTTAACTTAATCAAATTTTTTTATTAGAACAATTAAAGCTTTATAATTGAAGACCACACCGAAGTTTCTAGCACTTTTGGTTAAAGAAAAAAAAAATATTGAAAATCCCCAAAAACTTATTTTTAGGGGTCTTTACCCCCACTTTTCACAAAATTCTGACGTGCAAACAATTTGTGTGTGCAAAAACTTTCTGCAAACATGCTAAGCAAAATTGTCGAAAAGTTTCAAGAACAATTTGTAGAAAAATTGGGCTGAAAATTTTTGGAAATTTTAAAATACAAGTAAAAGTAAAATAAATATTTAATAGTTTTATGGAAAATTATTTTGTCAATTTCTTTTGAATTTAAATAATTAAATCACAGAATAGAAAAGGAGAAATAACGAAACAATTGTTTGAAAGAAAATTTTTTTAATTTATTCTCAGTGACTTTATACATTTGAAAATATTTGTTATGGAAC